CTCCCCCAAAAACAATAGAAATCTCGAAAAAGTAGGGGTATGAAGCTCACCTTGAGTTGGTTGATGAGTGGTTTGGAGAAGTGTTAAGGAGCTTCCAAGTTCCAACACTTGCAAAGTTTCTTTGAACTTTAGAATATCCTAAGAATAATTTTGTGTGTAAATATAATGAAATCTTAGGAATAATGTGGAGAATCATTAGTCAAAGAAGATGAAACACTTACAAAAATCTGGGAATTTTCCTTGAAGGAGTGAGACTTAAAGCTTGAAGGAGTTGGGAGTACTCTTAGAAGTTTACTCGATGTGAAAGTGAGAAGTAGAATTATGGGGAGGAAAGGAGGGAGTTCACGTATTTAAGAAGGAGGGGATAAGGGTGACATGACACTTGCTTGGAGGACTAGTGTACAATGCTTGGTTACCCATGGATATTTTGTGTTTAACTGGGATTGCATGGGAAATGAAGAATTTGCATCACATCATAAAGTAAACCCTTATCTTCTTAGAATCCCTTAAAAATCTTGGGTATTATTTTATGTTTAAAATAATCAATTTTGGCATAAATTAGGGGTTTAAGGGGTCTAAAATATGAAAAACACGAGTTTGGAGGAATTTTCGACGTCAAAATATCTGAAACTGATGAAAAAGTCCGAAATGGTCCAAAATCCAGAGCCAAAAGGTGAATTCCGGAGCCATATCTCAACTTCCGAAGTGGAGGGTTAATTCTGCGAGGGTCCAAAGTGGGTACAAGGAAGTTCCGAAGGTACTGGGCGAGTTCCGAAGTTCTTCTCCTACTTCTGGAGTCAACTCCCAAGTTCCGGAGCACTTCCCTCGGATCCGGAGTCAGGCGCAAGTTCAGGAGCGAAGCCAGCTGTCCGGACCGGCTAGAAATTCCGAAGACGAGGCACCTGCGAGATCTTCCGGAGTAGCGAGAATGTCTGAAGCAAAAGGAGTTCCGAAGTGACTAGGGCATTCCGGACTAAGAGGGTTCCGGACCAAGAGGGTCCTTTTAGGTTTTCTCCTTCGGTTTTGGGTTGTTTTCGACTGAGGAAGGTACATAGAGAGATTTGGGAGAGATTTCACATACTTGGAGAGATTTGGGAGAGATTTCTCATAATTGGAGAGATTTGGGAGATATTTCACATACTTGGAGAGATTCGGGAGAGATTTCACATACTTGGAGAGATTTGGGAGAGATTTCACATACTTGGAGATATTTCACATACTTGGAGGGATTTGGGAGAGATTTCACATACTTGGAGAGATTTGGGAGAGATTTCATATTCTTGGAGAGGTTTGCATTCTATCTTTTCATGGTCAATTAGGAACCATAAAGTATACTTCTAATGTGTTAGCACAAGTCTCACAATAGTTATTGTTTACATGAGGACAGAATTTCCTAGCCAAAATGCTAGTTGTGACACTAAGATACATCTAGAACTATATAAGTGGATGTGTGGTGATCTAATCCTTTTGAAGATTGAAGCTCTAATGATCAAAGTGGTCGGTATCATCTTCGCTTGTTATTAGTTTCATCATTAAATCAAGCTCGGATGGATGCATGATCATGTTATTTTGATCACTAAATGGTGGCAGTATATCCGGTGAAAAGCCAAGCTCATTCAATAGTTGTGTAGGGTCAAAGCCAAGCTTATTGTCATCCATCGGGCAATGGTTGAAAGGTGGCATGAGTGATTCTGGTGAAAAGGAAGGTTGAACACTCAAGTTCTCATGATGGTAGTGACGGTAGCAGTCATTATTTTCATCACTTATGAGCTCTTTATGGTCAAGGCTAAGGTCATCGTAATCCCCTAGGAAAAGGTTTGAAGATGGCATCATGGAAGAACTGTCAGCATTAACCTTAGCAATAGTAGTAGTAGGGTAGATTGTGTAATTGTCTTGATTATGAATCTTGGAGATGTCCTTGAGCGATTCAACTTTGTTTTTAACATTATTGATTTTACTATCCAACTTTAATGCAAGTTCTCGTAACTCCACTTCCTTATAGTTGTTTAGGAAATCAAAACACGTAGGCTATTTGGCTTCCAAGTTCTTCTTCTTGACCATAGCGAGTTCTTCTTCAACCTTCATCGTCTTCTCTTTAAAGAAATCTGCTAAAGTATAATACCGAATTTCCCCTGCATCCATAATGCGATTTTCGTTTGTAAAGTTCCGTGGTGAATTTATGAGGATCTGGAGGCAAGATCTCAGATTCTTGATGATCAGTATGGATGATCATGGATACATTCACGTCACAGAGGGTTGAGAGTTCAAGGGCTTTCTTGATGATGCCATTTTTTCTTGTTTGGAATGTGAGATTGTGTTTCTTGCTGTTGTTGATGTGTTCCATGGGTACCTTCCACCGACCCATGTCTTCGAATCTGTCAGTAACAATACCATATGCACATCAAATTAGACCAATGATTGAACCCATAAGCCATTGGTGATAAGAACTATTTCAAAAAGAGATTTAGCGAGAGTGGGAGAAATTACCGGTAACTAAAACCTTAATTAATTAAGAGGATATGTAAATAGTTTCACCAAGGAAATGTTATGGATGTGAAAGATAAGAAATTTAGAATGAGCTCCACTTATATATAGTAGAGTACCTTGACAACTACGAACGGCTACGTCCCACATTAATTCTGTAGTTCTCACACATCAAATTGTTTTAAAGTTTATTGACAAATTTGATGTTTTTTAAATTTAAATTATCAAAACAATTAGTATATTAGTATTTTCTTTAAAAAGATACTACATTGTAAATGTGACGAATTTGGTGAAATAAATGATTTTGATTAATATTAGAGAATATCACCAAAATATTTTTTTCTAAAGTTTTTTCACAATATAGCCATGATATGGAAAATAGTCAAAATAGCCACAATTATCTGCAAACCACATTTGTGAAAATCGACGTGAAATGTGATTTTGACAAATCAAAAGGATGTTTTTAATCTTTCCAAACATTTGTATGATTTATTGAGTAAAATTTTGAGTATGTTGTTTGTCTCATTTCACTTGCAACTTTCTACAACTTTTCTCTTTTTAAGATAACATGAGTTCTAACATTACAAATGAATATTTTATTTGTGTTTGTGTTGGTGGTTCATGACAGTCATAAAATAAGGAACTGATATATGTTAGACCATTTGTTATAAAATTTGGTGTTGCAATTCCTGTGAATATTAATTTCCTTGATTTATACAAATTGGTCAAGGAGAGAACAAGCTTGGACGACAAACATAATATCAATGTGTCCTTACAACATCCTACATTGAAATATAGTATATAGATAGTTGATGAAGGTGATGTAAAACATTAAAAAAAATTATTTAGCATGTTTCAACTCATGTACATCTGTATCTAGGGGATAATGATCCAATGGAGGAGAAAACAACATTTGCAATACAATGCCGAAAATCGATATGTTGTTGGTGAGAACCGATCTATCCACGAAAGAGTGTCTAGTAGTAGATTAGGAAAAATATTTGCTGAGAACAGATCGAACGAAAGAGGTAGCAACAATCAAACAGGTCTGAATATCGCTCCAAATAATCCTTAAATGTTGGTGGATATGTTGCATATGGAACACCAATTCAATCCACAATTGTTTATGAAAACCAATATACGTATCGACAAATTTGGTATACCGATCATGGATATTATGTACCATATCAAATATCGATAGCACCATATTAAACACCGGTAGCACAATATCAAACGTTGTTAGGACCATTTCTAATGTTGTTTGTACCATATCAAATGTCGGTAGTTTCACGTCAAATGCAGTAGAACGAAAAATTCATTATGTCGAATCACCGAATTATCAAAACTTTGGTGATGCTAATAATTCTACATGTAACGATAATGATAATGGTGGTGTGTGTCACACTGAAGGTGGCGATGATCATATTATAGAAATTGATAATCCAACAGATGAAATTGTTTAAAGAAAATCATTGTTTTGAAAACTGGACTGGACCGGTCAGGTTATCGGTTTTCTATAGCCCAAAATTCGTTTGTAAATGAAACGCCAAAAACCGGCCGGTTCACTCTAAAATCGGTTCAACTGAACCAGTGAAACCTTAAAAAAACCTGTTAAGCAATTAGAAAAACTTTAAAAAAAATTAATACTATGAAAGCCTCATTATTTTAGAAGGCAGCAGGGGACCACAAGCTTCACTTGCGAGGATTATCCCATTACTTGTTCTAAATGCATCTCATCCCCTTCCAGTTTAGCGAGAGAAATGGAATGCTTTCAATTAGATATTTTTAACCAAATTTATAATAATCATTAGGCGAATATCCATGTGTTACGCATGGTAAAATTATATGTTTAAAATGTGGCAAGTACATATTGAAAGTAGTTATGTTATTAATTCTAACCATTAAATAATAATAATTGTTATGGAAATTTGTAATGATTTTAAACTATGTTATAACATTTATTAAAAGTATATCATTTATTGGTCGCTACTCGCAGCTGACATGTGAATATAATTAAGTATAATTCTCGATTTAATGTTACTTTTAACGTTATGATAAACTAATTTAGAAATTAGTTATTTGATATTTTTTTGTAACGTAATATAATGTAATTTATAAGGTTATGTTATATTTAACTATGATTATTGTTAATGGTTATGATTTAAAAACTATTTATTTGAAAAAAAAATCCATTATTATAAAAATAAATTCACATTTGGATATTTTAGTTAATTTGGCATGTCGATTTAGTTTTATATTTAAAATATTTAAATGTTTTAAACTGTTTTAAAAAATAAATTTTGAATACTTTTATGTTTATTTGAGATATTGATTTATATTTTGGATTTAACATGATATTAAAATGAACATTTTATGTATTTATATTGGTAATTCAAAAAATCTACCACTAATATGATCATATTTCACATTTATTAACACACACACACATACACACACACACATATATATATATATATATATATATATATATATATATATATATAT